GCATCGGAGGAGTCTTTGATTTTGGACGTCCCTCGTCGCGGCGCCGTGACGTATGCGGCCGACAAATTCGGCCTTCAGAGGACCTGACCTGCTGTTTTGGACACAGCGAGTGTTTTATTGGACCAATTACCGAACCCAAAATGAAAGTTGAGAAGTAACTCACCAAAGGTATCAGGGAAAACCCAGGAGCTGTAAATCTGTTGTGTGTGCAGACCGGTCTCAGTACGGTTTTTCCTGGCCTCTGACTCAAAGTGTTATACCTCGGTCTTTGTCTCGACAGTTTGGGTCGAGGCCCGTTCCAGACTAAAAGTTTTTGTCAAAAGATATGAAAATATAACTCCCTTTGATCATCACCTACAGATGCGCAACGATAAACTGAATGTGAATTAAAAGCAACATAAGTGATGAGAACATGGCTGCACCATCTCAGAAAAACTCAGGGGTAAAGTAAGCTGGTCGGGTCCAGTACCATGTACCACTAAAAGATTCTGCACTGGAGGAGGGGAGAGGGGCTGTATGCTATAAAGACATCATTCAGAACCAGTCATGGATGCACTTCATGTCAGGGAGTCTAAAACACAATCAGTTTATAAATAGTTTTTTTTCTCTCATCTGAAACAGTTTGTGAACACTGAGCTGTGCTGGAGCCTCAGAGCTCTTGTCTTGTTTCTGTCCCCTCGGAGCTCGAGGCTTTCATAAACCAGGCTTTAAATCTTTAWGTTTAATGTCCGTCTGCTCCAGGGACAGACTGCCATAGTTTACTGAGGATTTCCCTGGTGAGATAACACCTTCTTCCCCCACACCCCACACTTAATAAATATATTAAACATCAAAAACACAGTGGGCCACTGGTGGGCTGCCAAACAGGCCCTACCACCGTGCTTAGAGAGTTTTCTGAGGGAAACCCTTTAAAGTGTCCGTTCAAACTTATGATTTTTACCATCTAATGCAATTAAGCTATACTGATTTAATAAGATAAGTACTTTTCCACTGTTTTAATAAAGTCAAATCAGGGTGCACTGGGTGTCAAGTTGTCTTTTTATTGACRTAATATATMACGTTGGAAGTTTGTATGTTTYASATTGTAAAGGGGTGATTGAGGTAAAGATTATATATAGGGATGTCCCGATCAGATTTTTTAGCTCCCGATACGATCCGATTTTTTTTTTAATGGTTAGTCCGATACCGATCTGATAGCTTTATTTCTTTCCAAGTGACGAGGTTGGTAGTATTAAAGTGAGCCCTGCTGTTTCCACCACCAGAAACATCCAGTTTACAGATTTTACAAGATGCAGTTTCAGCATCATTGTTTCCCATTGAAAAGTGTCCCACACTGTGGACATGGTTGTGTACTTGTGTGCGTCTTGACTTCTTAACTGCAGTTGTAAAGCATGATGATGCTGAAAACGRTCGTGAAAACTGGATCGGCCCGATCACATGACTAAATCCAATTCTACCTGATTTTCAGAAAATGGCCGTATCTGCCACTGATACTGATACTGAGTGATCGGGACATCTCTAATTATATATTCACATGTGTATGAAGTGACCGTTCAGCTAAACAGCTGCTCAGCTAAAGCTACGGAGGCACTTTGTACTTTCATCTTTCACTTACAGCTAATCAAATAAACAATCAACAACTCTAAAACWCTTACAGAGAAGTTGTAACCCAAACAAAATGTCCCAGAAACTGTGATGTTTCACTGATGCTAAATGTAGCTTGTTCATTTCAAGAGAACATCAGCTGTATTTAATAGTGCTCACATATATGTTATCATGTTAGATGTGTCCTCTGGCTGCAAACATTGTCAGTCATTTTACTGTAACCCAGTTCTCCTGTGTGGTAGCCTTCATTGTTTTACAAAGGGGGAAACGTTTCAGGAACTTGCCTGCTACAGGCATCATACAACCTGCAGCACATGAAGCTAATGTAGGGGTGTGTGAGGGTACAGGTTGTTACATCTGAACACAACAGGAGGGAGTTGACCTCCACTTTCTCTCTGAGTCATTAAAAAACTACACATTCCACAGTAACGATGGAAAATTTTAGCAGTTTTGAAACTGACTRTRCCTGGTTACAACAAAGAAATAATGTAGGAAACACACATTTCCTTGTGTTTTTTGCTAAGTGTGTATTTGTTGTATSTAACTTGTGTTTGAGACTTATGGATGTGGTTCTGTTCCAGGATGTTTTCCCAGGAGACTTTGGGCCCACGTACGACAAAGCAATCCAAACACTAATGTGGTTGTTTCTGTCGAGACTTGAGAAACTTCTTCCTAACCAAACGCTCCAGCAGGTAGACACACAATCTACACTTTTTACTTGAGATAATATTTAAAATATGGTTTGAAATAAACCACGTTCTTCTGTCAAAGTTTATTCAATTTAAACTAGAAAACTGCCTTATGTTTTGTAAAAAAGTATTTTAATATAATGGCTTCAGAAAGTATTTAAATCCTTTTCAGTTATTGCAAATTTAGGTTGCAGCCTACAGTTGTTTAACTGTTCTTTCCCTCCATTATTCTGCTCTGGATTTCCCATTAATAAACTAAAATCAGAATTTTATAAAAGTGTAAYTACACAAACAATAAAAAATTTAAATGTCATATTTTCACACTGTCAAACATTTTCAGACCTTGTAGTTAGCACTAAGTTGAACATTTGGCAGCAGCTCAGCTTCAAGTATTTTGGGTTTTTATTGCAACAAGATCTGTCGCAGCTGGTTTATGTCTGGATTTATCTCCATTAATTCATACATTTATAATCTTCAGCTTGAGCAGCGAGGCCAACACGTGTCTGTGCACAGCTGCCTCTCCCAGTTCTTCCTGCAGGACACCAAGGTGTTCTCAGGCCAGCCAAGGCACATATGGACATGTGTCATTTCTGCATTGGAAGGCCCAAACTGGGCCAGCCACAGTCCACCTGGCCATTTGCTACTTTGGCCCTGATTGTGTTTACTTCAGAGAGACACCTTATTTTGTTTTATTTGCAGTACAACATTGGACCACACCAAACTCAAAACTACTGAAGGCTGTTGACTAGGGCTGCGACAACGAATCGATAAAATCGATAAAAATCAATTATTAATGAGTTGGTAACGAGTTTCATTATTGATTCGTTGTGTCCTGTGATTTATGTGTCCCTCGCCGTGTCGCGGAGCCGTTTACGTCACCCGCAGAGCGTTGTCAATGCTGGCTGACCTAAATAAAGTTTAGGAAGAAAAAAACTACCTGTAGCTCCGCCCTCTCTGAGACTCTCGAATAAAAACAGAGACTTCGAACTTTAAACCAGTTTTTAAATCGTGTTGTTAGGCCAAGTAGATCTAAAGATAGGATAAAAAGTATCTGACACAATTAATTTTTTTAAAGACGTCTGATTAGATGCGTCGCGTCGCGACGAGGAAACACGTCCCGTGGCGAAAAAAAAAAAAGGGTCCCTCAGTCGACCTCAGTCCACCATGTCTTCCTCCTCTCAGACCAGAAATATAAAACACTCGTCTTTTTTCTGACAGAGGCTCAAACTTATTTGATCAACAGCAAAAAGGTTCAGGACGAAGTGAAGAAAAAGAGAAAAAGACGCAGCAGAACTCCTGGGGGAGGGGGGAGGGATGGGGGGCTGCTTCAGAACCGGGTCATTCAGTCCG